CTATTAGAGGCTCCTGGCATCGCTACTAGGAACAAGGACGCTACTAGTTTCTGATCCGCACCTAGGCGTGGTGCCTCAGAGTCCCAAGGCACCACGACTGGTGCCTCGGATTCGGCCACCGGCACAGACGCCTCCGAAGCTGGATGTGGTTTGGTGGAGCGAAGAGACACCCATTTTCCCGCGGACTATGGTGACCGACCATGCCTATGTTATGTACAACCCCCTACCAAGAAGACACTGTGAGAGTGAAACCCCCATTCTGTGGTAGGTTTAACGTCTACATTCTCATCATGTTAGATTGGAACCTGGAACTTCATCTGAAATGCAGGGTCTTGACCCACGACCCACTTTCCAAGAAGACTCCGAGGCACCAGAAGCACCCTCAAAGCACCCAACAGCTTTGGGACCAAGGAAAGAGTGCACTTTCTCAGAGGTGGCATCGAGTCCCTCAGGTGCGAGCAATGAAAGTGAGTTGTTTGACTGGTTTCCGCAGATGTCGCAAGTGCCAGATGCAAGTGGACTATACATATAATATCATATAATTTGTTTTGCACTGCCAGGACATAAGTTTGTCTTTCCTGTACAAGCCCACAAGCGCTTGAAGAGACCCGTGAGTGCATGCGTTTGCTTGGTCAAATTTCCCTGAATGTCCTCCCTCCAAAGCTCTTTCAATGTTAGAAAGTGCTGTAATAAGTATCTACACACAAATTGTGTATATATATACGTACATAATATGTGCATACAATTGGATGATTCATGACCGTCCCATTGCTACTGTACCAAGCAACACGGGATTTCTTTTCGACGGCGACCGAGGCAGATGCTACGATGGGTAAGAAGAAAAATGAGTTCAGTTGTGTTGCATTAAAAATTGTATTATGTTGTATTGGTATTTTGTTCTGGAGGCCATTGTTAGCAGGTTGGAGGCCATCGCTAGTAATGTTGGATACTGATTAGTAAAAGGGGGTCCCCCCTCTAAACAAATAGGGGATCCACTATGATAAAATACCACCAAAACAAACTTGGGCTCCTGGGAGGATTCCTTTTGTAATTGATAGTAGTCATTTTCCTTTGTAATTAGATATTCTCAGCAATCCTTTTATACTAATTACTGAAACTTATACTTATCAATACTCTCAGCAGGCCAGCCATTGGCTTAGTAGTATTGTTCTTTATTTTGCTGAGGAAAAAACTGTACACACTTGAGGACCCTTAAAGCAAATTTATTATTGAGGATCAGGGGCCTTCCTGGTCTACTACCTTGAAAATTTGTTTAGGAGCAATCTTTACAAAAAGGATTGAGTAGGGAATCGATGGCTTTGGGAAGCCGTCAGTTTCGAAGAAAAACTAGAGAAACCTATATAGATCAAAAATCTCAGCAAGCCAGTCATTGGCTTAGTAGTATCCACAGGTCTCTGAAGGATTTGGCACCCTATTAATTGTTTTTCAGATAGTAAAAAAATAGGATCCCGAAGAAACAAAGTTATATATATCGCACAATAGAGGACCCTTAAAACAAACCTGGTGGTCAGAATTATGGTTGACACATTCAGCATTGTAAAGACCCGTTTACTAATCAGGATCCAACATTAAATTGACTTCAAATTGCACTTGACTTCACTTGATGACTGCGGTCCGCTGGAGGAGTGCCTAAAGTCAGCACTTGTGATGGCTCTCCACCTGTGAATCCAGCAGAAGATCTTCTGGACCTCAGTGAGCCTAAAGAGGAGATGGTTTTTGCAAAAAGGGACTTGCATACTCTCACTGCAGAGCATGTAGCCTCAATCCGGGAATGATGTGTGGAATGCCTGTACTTGCGGAAACATGCTGGAACTTAGTAGTAATATGTGACCAGAAAGTTGAACAAAATGTCTCGCAACAATGGGACCAACACCGAATTAGATGACGGACCTGAAATCCTCCAAACAATGGACCTATACTACTGTAGCAGTTAGAATGAAGCTGGCTCTTTCTTGGCCAGACAGCAATCGCTTTGCGCTGACAACGGCCATGGCGGTCATCACCTAATTTTGAGAGGACCAATTCAATTCACGACCCTGGCCAGACCTGGTGCAGATCCTTGCTGCAAGCGCCTTCGTGATGAACACTCGGAGTTGGAGAATGTGGGAGCCTGCCAACCAAAGGTGGAAGGTTGTGTCGGCATGTGCAAAACAAGAGGGACGGAGAAAGAATGAATGTTAACAGAACATCGCCAGCTTGCATCAAAATATGTTGTCACTTGATAGGTTGACAGTGTTGGAAATGGCAGGTGGCCGACCCTTTTGATAATGTAAAGTATGCAGGCAAGAAAATCATGGTCGAGAAATCAAAGGATGCAATTGAAACGGCAAGGCTTTTCGTCAAACTTTGGCATTATTTTTCACGGCCCCTGGGTTCTTGCATATGAATGCATTTCAGTACGTGTGTGTGTGTGTGTGAAAGTAGTTGGTTTCTTTGAGGCTCGAATCCTCCGACATATCGATCTGAGCACAGACCTGATGCAGATGGCATTCCAGATGCACCTCCCTCACGCAGGGACCGTGATTCCCGTTGTGCATTCAAAGATTACCTAGCGTTCGACTGCTGTATTTAGCACCGATGTTTGTTGCCACATGAACTAGAACAGAATGGGGTATGAAGGCTGTTCTGGAGCAAGGTAACATCGTTCTTAGTTTGTTCGAAGGAGAGCCAGTTGGACACAAAAACGTGGCTCGAGTTGCAGAAGGAGGAGGACCGAATCTTTTTCCTTGTGAATGTGCGCTTGTCTTGTACACTGTCTTGTCCATGACCTTGGATACGGAATATGTCACTTCCTGGCGTACATGCCATGCCCTTTCTTCAAGTTTGACTTGATGTTGTGCAAGTCAGCCAACTCCCAGGAAAAGCTACTGGATCAGCTCCCACGTTTCGAGCAGCTTTTGTATGAACAACCCGACCCAGAGGATACTGAGGCTACTTGACACAACGTAGGTAATTATTTCACTTGGTTTTGTCCCATGATAAGCCAAATCCTGAGACTGCAACTATCAGCAGCTGTAGTACGATGTACTCTCACTGAAGCCTCCCCAAGTTCAGCCAGGTGAAACTCACCTTTTCAACCTACGAGATGGAAGATGCACTGCATGAAGGTCTTGTGCAAGAAGATTCAGGGCAAGAAGATGTTCAGGCAACGCGAATCAACAGCCTTTGTAGATTCAACAGGACATGTACAGATATATAATGTACTTGCTTTGACTTGGATGACTATATAGTGAAAATACGAGTGAAAATGTCGTGTCAACAAGTCGATCTTCGGAAATACTCTGTTCAACAGCTGTGAGCAGAACCTGAGGTTCACCCACCCGTGGTCACCGGACCGGTCAAGGTTCAGCGTCTTGTCTAGATTCCGAGTATGGCCGTACGACTCGAAGCAGAGCACCTGTTGGATCCACGTTGCCAGCCTTCAAGAATGCCAAATCATGAGATGAATGCTGTGCATGCTGAAGTCGTGCAATGTTTATATAGATGCCACGATTGCAAAACAATGGAAGACATGATAAGATATGATAAGAATGTATAAAGTGCATATGTCGAAGCGTCGAAGAGACACGGGGGTTGGATGGTTTTCCTGGCTTCCATGCCGCCCCGCAAGCAAGGCAAGAGATTGAGGAAAATGTGAAAGCACTGCAATCCCAGGCCTGCCACCTAATAGCAATGGCCTCCCTCCTAATAGTGATAACAGGATCCTTGCATTGTTTCTATGAGAGAAGTTCTGGTAGCCAAATGCAAACTTGTCACGAGTGTTGAATGGCCCTTGGAGAGTCAGCGGACTTGGTCCAGCGAAGTTCGCGCCAAATGTTTGCAGGCTTGCGACAAAACCGCGCCTGAGACACTGCTTCACATTGATGAAAAGACTGAAGCTGTGTCGCAAACCACGCGAGACTGTTGCCCACACAAACATGGACTCTCCAAGATAGCATGATGTTCAAGTTGCGTTGCTTTTGTTTCGCATTATTTCCGTAAATGTCTAGTTTCACGTTGTACCCGATTGTCACTACCTCGAAAATGACATAATTACCCAGATAGACAGTCATAAGCCATAAGCGATATGTTATGCCTGTTGCCCAGCCCCGTGTCCAGCAAAAGCATTGCTTCCTTGGAATTGCTTAAATGCTGCAGAGGTTTGAGAAAGCAACGCCATGGATGTCACACCGTTGTGAAGCATTACAACATATTGCAACCTACCATGTAGCGACAGCAACAAGTTTTCAGCACAAGCGGCAAAACAAATTCCCACAATCACCAGATGGTATGATCAAGACCAAGACAAACGAGGACGTGAACTGGCGCAGCTGATAGCTGCGAGCTCGTGGCTCTAGTGCCAATCTTAGAGTCTCAGAGTGTGCAGCCAAGTTGAAGCGTACTTGAACAAGCTTTGCGCACTCCTGGTCATTTCTTGGTCCTTTGTAGATATGTCCCAGCAACCGTTGTTCATTCTGAAACCCACCGATAGGCTTCGCTGAAGCTGTTTTGCAAACGATGTGATTATTACACTCGAATTAGAAGACTTTTATGGCCAGAAAGTCTGGCAGAGGTGGTCGGTGGACGTCCATGCGCGACTATGGATTGGTATCATAGACTCCCCCGGTGTGGTGCCTTCCGGCGGGCACGTCACTTAAACCATACACAGAACGCGTGCGCAGACGAACAGACCAACAAGATACGGTGGCAAACCGATGTTGGTCGGAAGTTGAATGTGTATAACGCAGCGCTCGAGGTCGTCCCCCTGAAGAAAGGATGGCAGTTCTCACATCGATGTGCGACAAGTTCCAAAAACCAGAAGTCAGGGTCTGGGTGACATGAAGGGGAGGTGTATAATTACATGGTGCAAAAATCCTGTGATGTTTGTTATTGTTTGTTGTACAAGAGTTGCGTGGTGGAATGGGTGATGCTATGGCACGAAGGATGTCAGGTTTGATAAGCTGGACGCTCGCTTTCGTTTCGCTACATTCGCAGGTCCAGGATGACTGCACAATGCCTTCATGTGTTGTATATAGTATATTCAATTAGGTTGGAGGCCATTGCTATAAATTAGAAACAAATAAAAAAGAAAAGAAAGAAAGGTCAAAGGTCTATATAATATTATAGAATATAGTTTTCTTCATGTCAATGTGTTTCTGCTGCTCAATGTGGGTGTGCTATGCGAGGCCATGGCGATTTTGCCCAATGCCTTTGTCACTTTGAGGCCGAGACGGGTCGACTCAGTTCACCTGTCAGAGGGCCACATGTCAGCCCGTGTTTTGTGGATGTGCGGCCATGTGCAACATGTGTTTCTGTTTTGTGCTCGAGAATGAGGCCTTTGAACCATAGTGCGGCTGTAAATTCCTGTTAATTGTTCAGTGGTGGTGGTGGTGGTGGTGGTGGCGGCTTTTCAGCCACATCCACTGTCCATAAACTTTCATGAAGTTTCACAGCTTGAAGCTGTTGATGTGCCAGGCAGAGTCAGCAACCTTCTCATGCCCCGTCCACATTTGCAATCACCAGCAAGTTGGGCTCCTAGCTCCGATAGCCAGTAATTTGGAAGACTGGAAGACCCAGCAAATGACTTCAATCTCACTCAGGCCTGCCCTGCCGGCATTTTCACTGGTGTCAGAGGAGTTGTGCATCAGTGAGCCTTTGTCGTAGTAGATGCAATTGGTTCAATTTATGTGAGACTTTGTCACTAAAGCAACACAAGCCTAATCTGTGAACTCATGTCCATCCATTGTGAGACCAGGAGCAGTCCGGCTCTCACAGTCTCAGGCCATGTTTGGTCGATTTGACGTTCCGTTTCCTTCAGCCTTTGCCTGTTGCTGAAGCTTTCCCCTCTTGGATCTGAGAAAGGAAAGAAATCATACTGTATGAAATTATTGAAGCGAAAAGAGTCAGAATACACCAGTGAATTCCTTACTGCACTAGCTACTAGCTCTCGCAGGCGCATCATGTCTTTGAAGCTTAGTACGGAGTTCAGACTTGATCTTTGCTTGCAGGTCTAAATATATCCAAATAGTTGAATTATGTTAAAATTTATTAGTAAATATATGCTTCGAACGTCTAGTTTTGAGCATCGAACACTTTGTGACATGTGTTCATTCTGTGACTTTGACTTTGAATCAAGCTCTCAGTGGTCTGAGACCGCGAGCTAGTTTTGATTCTGTATCGCATTCATCTCCAGTTTTGGCCTGGGCTTGGGTGTACTTGCCTTGGCGGGTCGAAGACACCTCAGTGGGGACTCTCAGGTGTTGGACGCCCAGTAAAGTAGCTTGGGTTCCACGTTGGTGAGCAGGGTGATCGGCTTTGCACTTGGCTTGAGTCTTGAGTGTTACGAAATTGGCAGGGGACTCGTTGGGTTGGCCAGGTGGATAAACCGGATCATGGGGTTCTTTTTCTTCTTTTGACCTCGGTGCTGCCTGCAGGAAAGCTAGGAATTTGTGTGCTTGAAGCAAGCGTTTGAACGGGGTCAAGCAAGCTGACCCAACGACCCGATGGCCAGTTTGTCTCAACACTACTTGGAGAATGTCGGAGAACTGAATAATCAGCCATACTGTCATGCACAGCTTGCACAAGGACTTAGAGGTTGCCTTGCAAGCATGAGCTTCAAGTTTTGCGTACCTTGCACCCTTGACTTTGGCATTGTTTCACCTCGGTCGCTAACAGTCAGTGGAAAAGCGAGCACAACTTAGGCAGTGCGAAAGCTGGCCGCCGCAAGGGGAGCAACTGCACGGGGCCTCAGTGCGACACATTGGGCACACATGGAGATGAAGGAATTTGCATGCATGGATTTATTCTATCACCATGATGTGATAATGTGATATTGCAAACTTAAGTGGGTCGAATGCTTCCACGGAGGAAAGCAAGATCGACATGATGGCATCACGCTCGGGAATCTGTTGGCCATAATGCGCCAGGCGTGGTGATGCAGGCAACCAGTACTTCGACTTCAACTGCTGAAACCACCACAAAGAAGGAGGGGAAGGAGTTGGCGAAGTGTGGAACTAAGATCATGTTCAATGACTTCCACTTGTTGAATTATGACTTCCAAGTGTGCAAGGCCCTTCGCTTCTTCACTGTATCATGTGGAATCATCGAAGCCAAGGAAATCAGAAGTCCCTGCTGACTTGGACTGGAGCCAGGTTTCATCACAGTGGGAGGCCGCACATTCCGCTGTTCGTGTGTTCTCTTTCCATTCGGCCCTTGTCAGGTTGATTGTTTCAGCCGACCGGTCAACCGAGATGGGAAGAAGATGTGGGAGTCTTCCTGCCAAGTGTTTCATGGGCACGAGTGTTTCAGGCTCCGCCTTTGCTTCTGGAGACTTGGCGAAACGAGACGTACGCTTTTGAGCGAGACTTAGCATGGCTCAATATGAATTGTTTTTAGGGGCGATGTGTTCCAAAGGCCTTTCACGAGCCAAACATGCCATGAATGCACACACTTCTATGACTAGCAGAGCAGTCCTGAACAGTGCAGGCGACATCAACCTTTGTTTGCTTCAGGCTTTAGCTGACTAGCCATGGAGCCTCCACCGGGTCTTGAAGGTGACGAAGCCACCAATGCATCTGCTTCCCGGCGGAGGTTGTTTGATTCGCACTTGGACTCCGCAGCGATTGAAGCAGGCCTTGCAGATGGGTCCTTGATCCGTGGCACACTCCGGGCCAGCAGCACCAAAGTCAGTATGGCTTTCGTCCGTGCCGAAGGCTCCAAGAGTCAAGATCGTGAGTGGGTGGTGCGAGGATCCAAGAACCGAAACCGTGCCGTGCACGGCGACAAGGTCATTATTCAGCCGGTCCTTTATGGGCGAAGGGACGAGGATTCATCCTCTGAGGAAGAGCTTCCAGAGGCCATTCCAGCCTCAGACTCTGATGAGGAAGTCGTCTTTGTGAAGCCCAACGTTGCTGGAAGTGCAGCCAAGGGGCGAGAAGAGCAAGAAGTCCAGATGGCCAAGGTAGTCACTTGGACCCATGGATTCATTCTGCAGTTGCATGCTAACCCAGTTGCTAACCCTTGATTGCTATGAGTATGTGGTTGGTAGTTCAATAGGTGACTGAATCGGTGGGTTCATTCATGATATTCCCCAATGCTGCGCCTTTGAACCTTCCAACCAGGTTGCAATTGCAGAGAAGAAGGGACAAGGTCGGGTCATAGTTTGCACTTTGCATCCAGAACGGCCAAAGAAAGAAGAAGTCCTCCCAGAGGACAACTTTGTGAAGGCAATCCCCACAGACAAACGCTTGCCTGGTATGCTACTGCAGATCAACAATGTCACCCGGAAAGTGCTGAAATTGCCAGGGAAACTTGATCCATTCCAACTGTGGCCCTTGCAGATTACCACCTGGAATGAGTTTTCCAAGCAACCCTTGGCAAAGTTGCAAGGCCAGTGCCTTGGAAGGGCAGGAAGCTTGGAAGCCGAAGAGAAGCATGCTTTGATTGCCAATGAATTGGATAGCCACGATGTGGATTTCTGTGAGGACGAGCTTGACGAAGTAGACGAAATCGTGCGAAAGGCACAAGAGAACTTCAGCTCTGAGGTTCCTAATCGAATGGATCTACGAGCCTCAAGGATTTTTACCATCGATCCTGCGACCGCTAAGGACTTGGACGATGCTATTCACGTAGATGACGTGCCGCACAAAAATCAGATTGAGGTTGGGGTTCATATCGCAGATGTGGCTCACTTTCTCAAGTTGGGCACAATCACCGACCAAGAGGCACAACGTAGGTCAACCTCAGTCTACTTGATTGGTCGAGTGCTGCCAATGTTGCCTCATGGCCTTTGCAACCATTTGTGCTCCTTGAACCCAAACGAGCCCAAGCTTTCATTCTCAGCATTCTTCCGGCTTTGCAAAAGGACTGGACAGCTGATTCAAGACCCAGCACCTTGGTTTGCCAAGACAGCCATTTGCTCGGTGTGTCGGTTGAATTACGATCAGGCACAGGATGTCATTGATGACATCGAGATCGAAGAGGAGAACCGACCTTCAGTACATGGTGGCTATACTTGGCAACAGATCAAGGATGACATCAAGCTCCTGTACGATGTTTGTGGCAAGGTCCGTATGGGCCGGCTAAATGGGGGTGCCCTGACCATCAGCAAAACCAAGATGATCTTCCACACCATGAACAGCGAAGATGGAATTCCTACCGGTTACCACCTGGAGTCCCATAGTGCCTCTCACTGGGTCATTGAGGAGCTGATGCTTCTGGCTAACCGCTGTGTAGCCACTCGTTTGGCTCACTCTGAGCTCTCAGACTTCTCGGTGTTACGAAATCACAAGCCTCCCGAGGTGAAGAAATCTCAACAATTGCAGAAGCTCATGCGCGAGAATCTGGGAATCCGGGACTTTGATATGAGCAATGCTACAGCGATCTACCGATCCTGTCAAAAGATCTACGAGACGCATGGGAAAATGCTTGGCTTGTGTGTGGAGATGATGATCATGCGAGCTGGAATGCAGCAGGCAGAGTACTTTGTTTATGGTGCAGATGAGGGTGAAGACGAGGTGTGTCCGCACCACTTTGCCCTGAACTTCGATTACTACACGCACTTTACGTCTCCCATTCGACGGTACCCTGACGTCATGGTCCATCGGGTCCTTTGTGCCCTTTTGGACCGTCAACTGGAAGCTAAGGAAGGTGAAGAAGGAGAAGAAACTCGCTATTTCCAGACCCGAGAAGAAGCTCAAGAGGAGGTATCTCAGATCAAGGATAGTCCTTCTGAATCCTTTGAAGCTTCCATGTGTGTGTGTGTGTTTTGGCTTTGAAACCAAGCGAGTAATCAAGTGATCCTCTCGTGTTCCCAACAGTTCCTTCCGTTTCTTGTTCATCCTTGGACTATTCACAGGTGCAGATTTGCAACACCAAGAGGCTGAACTCTCGGAGGTGCCAAGAGCAGTTGGATAGATCAGTTTTTTGCATTTTCCTTCGATCCATGAAGAGCTGGTTCTACACCGTGGGCACAGTTCTGGCATTGAACCGCAATGCCAAGGACGGGGATGGGATCGTTGTTTATTGCTCTCAGCTGGGTAGAGAGAGCAAGGTTGCCCTGAGATCAGATGGAGGTGAAGGAGAAGAAGGCGAAGACAAAGAAGGTCGGGGTGCAGGGAAGGGGCTTCAGGTACAGCTCTTCATGAATGGGGTGAATGATGAGTTGATGCTTCCAAAGAACTGGGAGTGGCAGGGTCGGGGAGCAGTCCAAATTACCTGGAAGTCTCCACGTGATGAGAGTGAGCAGATCCAAAAGCTGCAGATGCTATCATGTGTTCCGATCGTGATTATTCCCACCAACACAGTTCCAATCGATTACGCCATCTTCTTCGTGTCGCCCTTCCACGAAAAGTTTGAAAGCGTTAAGCAAGAGGTCTCTTCAAACGAGGTGGATGGGTTCGCTTGGACTGAAGAAGACGAAGAAGGCGTCGAGATTTGCTACGATGAAGCTTTGGAAGAGCAAGGTGATTAGCCCAGCCTGTTGAGCAGGGGAGCCTTGAAAAAAAGGTGCTCATAATGCAGCAAAAGGCTGGATCCAGTTTACCCAAACAGAACAGCGCAATAGTAGTGGCATGTAGCGGTATTGTGCAGCCCCCAAAAGGGCCAACATGCTGTCTTTTAGGTCCTTGGACCAAGGGCAGCTCTTTGCTTGACGGCGAACAGAGTTGCCACCCCACGGCGGACAGCCAGGCTGATGGTGACTGATGCCAACGGTGTATACCGCAGAGTTCGCGCACTTAGCATGTAGCTGATTGCCGTGTCCTTCGATATTCTTTGCTAAGATGCCACCCTGTGAGACAGGTGCACGAACAGGCCGCTAATTAAAACATCGTTGTAAGGCCACTTGCAGTAAAGTCACAAAATGCGAGGTCGCACAAATGAAGCCAACACGCGTGAACTCAGTGGTGGTAGGGAGCTTGGATCAAGACAAGAAGCCAAGCTGGGAGAGTTCGGACATGCCCAGCAGATTTGGCAAGAAAGAAGTTCATGCCCTGAAAAAATCTGAAGCCCCTTTTTCTGACGTCAGACGTCAGATCACCACAGCATCAGATCACTGCCTTAGCGTCTCAGGTTCAAAAGCTCATGACCATCTTTATCGAAGAGTCCAAGGTCAAACCGCAGGCGTACCGGCGTTGTCGAGCAGTTCGCAGTGCTGCGTTCGCACATTGGCGAGGGTACCCAGATATGACATGATTTGACATGATATGACTATATAATTACCATTACAAAGTAAAGTTGTAAGCGTAAACGTGGTGGCATGAACTACAGCCCTTTCCCTTTCTAGTCATACAATGGGTCAGTGGGTCACAATGGAGTTCCGCTGGAGGAGTTCCCACACAGAACAAAGTGTTTACACTGAACCAAATGTTTAGCGTCTTGCCGGGGTTCTATGATGAGAAGTTAATATATCAAATTTACTATAATACCCCCACAAATAAGCAAGCATTTGTTACACGTGTATCCTTCTCTAAGTGAGATTCGATTATGATATGAACTGCAGGTTGCCCAGAACAAAGCCTGAGAATTTCTGTGTCTCTACCTTCCATTTGTATCCATTTGTATATGCTGCTTTTGGTTTAGCGAGTTGTGGGGATACTGTATATATATATATACTCTCCCCTGAATCGACGCATGTGCCACGCCACGCCAGACGATCCGCTTCTTCCGCAAAGTCATGAAGTTTCTTGGCCGGAAGAAATCTGGGTTGGAATTAGGTAGCGGTAGTGGCAGCTAGTGCATGGCAACAATGTCTCCTTCGTTGGTAGGGTAAAGAAGGTGCTACAGACATGAGCATTGAAGTACATCGTCCTTACAATTGAACATTGGGTGGGATTTGACAAAATGATGGGGTAAGAGGACGCTACTAGGAGCAAAGGGCATCGCTACTAGGAGCAAGGACGGTACTAGTAGCTCCTGGCCATACTACTAGGAACAAGAAGCTACTAGGAGCTGTTTCGCATCATAGATGGCGTGGCGTCGTGATATGATTTTCCTTTGCGGTTGAGGAACATGCTCATTGTCGCGCTGAATGCTGTCAAGGCTGGCTGTAAAGAATGCTATAGGAGGTTGGAGGCCATCGCTATTATTAGGTTGCTTTCTAGTTTCCTATACAATTTCTTCTATTTACACAAGTGTCATAATAAGCAGCAGCAGAGTAGTTGGCCTTTCAGCACACAGTCTAGGGCACACATGCATTTCGTGGCGATGAGGATACCATGCCTCAGTACATGGAGAAGTGCAAGATCCTCCCAAGTGACTGGCTTACTTCCAGTTTCAACCTTGATCCGCCAAGACGCTACTAGCTCCTGGCCTTACTACTAGGAGCAAGGACGCTACTAGGGGCAAGGAAGCTACTAGGGGCTCCTGGCTTACTTCGTTTGCATCAACGGCCCAGCGATTGAACCGCCTTTCACCAGGCCGCAATTGCCATATGCTTCGACTTTGGCTCTCATATCGAGAACGTGAGGCGCTGTCTTGACAGAGTAACGTTTACCCGAACTCGGTGCCGGTTTGCCACATTGAGAGGTGTACCCAAAGATGATTGGCTATGCCGCACCAGCCAAGAAGAAGACTACAAGTGTGCAGGCAGCTTGCGGGTCACTGGAACAGGTGTTCAGTCTCGATGAGTGGACCGGGAATCGTACTTTGGCAGCAAATGATGCTAAAAAGTTGTCAAACGTTGCACGCGCGTTGTCAGACATCCATGGTGAAGATGGCATATGAGAACTTGCCAGAAAGGTGACGAGCTCAGAAATTGCATCAGAAGCAAGAAAGGCAAAGTCCAAAACCTGCCATGTCAATTCCATTGAGTTGGATACAAAGAGCACATGTGCATCTTCGATCCACTGTGCTCATGCAGGTTGCGTTTCTCCCGATATGCCTTGACGGCTATTGAACTTGGTGCATTAGCACGAGTAAAGCCAGGGTCACCTGCTTAGAGTTCGCCTCGACTCCCAATGAATCTTGATGCTTGACAGCAAACGCTTCCCCTCTTGCATATCGCTACTAGTAGCTTCTTGTTACTAGTAGTAATGCCTTTGTGACTAGTAGCTTCTTGATGTTACCATAACCTGTGGCTCCAAGGCAGCTGCCTGGGAATTTGGCTAGAATTCCTCCAGGCTTCAGTGACAATGCGCAGGTCCGTCACAAACTTTGCAAAACTGAATGAGACCAATGTGTATATAAAGCCATCCAAAGGGTAAGTCCCAGCACAAGCCTCCTGGTGTTTAAATGGAATGTCCAGTTTGTCAGGTTTGGGGTGTGATCATTTTTACTTCCAGAGCCGACAGCACGCCCGTCATGTTTGAATCTACGCAACGTTCATACGATTGCCAGCTGGAATGATGTTGCATTCCTGTTGCTCCTGTTGCAGTTATTTGCTCAACCTTGCGCTCCATGGAAATGGCTGCAGTGCCACGCTTATTTGCTGGTTTTTATTGATGGCAAGTTCTTTGAGTGTGAAGGAAGTTGAGACACTGAGCTCAAGGCAACACAATCAAATGCGTGTGAATCCAGAAGCTACTGGTAGTAATCATTTGATATCAAACGATCAGTTGGCATGGTTGTATCCTGAGCCATTTTTGACGGGGGGTAAGCAGTGTGTTGGTACGAAAAGAAGTCGGAGGCGTTCAGGACGCAGTGCCTCTCTTGCAAACACCAAAGTTCCCAACACAAAACTCTGTATTGGTGGTACGAAACAGTCTTCAGATGAGAGAGCGCTGCATGGAACCCAGGTGGTAGGTATATTCATTTTCACGGACACTACTAGGGGCTTCTGGCCTTACTACTAGGAGCAAAGAAGCTACTAGGAACAAAGGGCATCGCTACTAGGAGCAAGGACGCTACTAGTAGGTTGAACATGGTTGTCCGCCTCCAGGATTGCAAAAGACATAGTACTGTTTCAATAAAGCATGCCAACTCCGTCCTGGTCCATGTGGGGCCGAACTGGCTTTGAGAGGTTTGAACCTGCCGAATGTTATGTGTTTTGTGACTGTTTGGGAGCAGGCGGGACGAAGGATACCGAAAGGATCCGAAAGGATCCGAAAGGAATGAAGGTGGTAGTGATCTGCGGAGGCCTTGATGAGGTGGGAGGAATGCATGCCTCGCCATGTCGCATGTTGGCACTCTCTCATATGCTTTGACTTGCTATAAGCACTTGATTGCTTGTTAGCAAACCAAGACAGCAGCATGAGGTTCGGATTGACCTGGAGACTGACGAGCTTCTCCTGGAGCTGGATATTGACACCACGTGCCCAACCCATTCTGAAATTGAAGCTCTTGGTGCCGAAGCACTGCCTCAAGGTACAAAATTTGCAAGATCAACATGGAAGAGAAGGAAAACTACTTGAAGTTTGAAAGGCTTGGCATTCTCCCACAGCCTCATGATGGAAGTGTTCAATCATCTCACTCAGTTAACTTTCCCCCAAAATCTACGAACCAAATGAATAGTGCCAGGATCCTGCGTCCGTACTTACCCCTACTACTAGCTACTTATAAGCTTACCTCACGGCCTACAGCCACTCCGAAAAAAATGAAAAACTTATATGATAATGATAATGACTCGTTTGTTAATGATGTACCTCAGAATACCCAAATCTACAACTGCCTCCTATATACGATAAGTGTGTTGCAAAGACTCCTTCAGCTCTGGGTTTCTCAGGGCAAAGAGGCAACTCGGAGGATTCCATTTTGTGGCGCCTTGGTTTACCAAAGCTCATTCATTCCTGTTCATGCCAAACATGCCAACCTTGGCCATTCAGCAGAACATGTTGTCTTGTGTCTCAACATACTGGGTGATGATTCATGTTGATTCCGTGCAGCTGTGCTTCAGCTGAGGCCGTGCATGATATAGTCACCGGCGGCGAGCCTTTGCTGCCGATCGAGGTTTCGGGGCAGCATGTGTCTTGAGCAAAGGATGTCCAGATATGTTCTTCAGGTGTGCCCGGACAACTCTAATGTGCATGGCGCACACATTTGGCAAGTCTTTCAAACACTAGTCGTAGACAGGTGTAGCGATACACCACACTTCAGGGCCGTCACTTCGCACAAGTCTGATCACGAAAGGTAGCCCTTTAGGGGATACCTTGAGTTTGACTTGCGAAGCAAGTGTCGGCGAGTCCGGGTCTAATAATTGATCATTCAATTCACCCCCCCCCCTTGGAATTGATTTTTCAATACAGACCCCCCCCCTCTAAATTCAATTCTCTCCTGGAGAACGTCTTCGTGAGCCTCTCATGATTTCAGGATAGTTGAAACCCTCTTGAACATTCAGAAAGAGTGCATATGAAATTCTAATCACGAAAGGTGTTCCCCGAGGGGATACATACCTAGAGTTTGTTTTGTGAAGCACGTCAATTCTCTCCTGGGGAACGTCTTCGTGAGCCTCTTATGGTTTCAGGATGGTTCAAATCCTATGATGCTCCGATTCAATGCTCACCGATGATCTGAGCCATGGGGCAAGTTTGTTTTCCTCAGAATCTGTTTGAACATTTCGAGTGCATATGAACATATATTTACGACAGGTCGCCTCCGAGGGGATAAATCACTATGTCGAACATTGCATTTTTGTTCCTGCCTCTCGCGTTCTTTTCTCTTCCCGCTGTCCTACCTTTCGTGTCTCCCTCCTCTCAAGTGTGTTTTTCCTCAGCTCTCGGTCGTTGTACTGAGCTAGGTTCTATATGTATTCCGTATGTTGTGTTTGTTTTGCGATTTCAATGTCCTTTGATGATCTATTCCCTCCATGGGGTTGGGGGGTATGCATCAAGGCAGACGATATGGGCCCGGGAGAAGGCTGTATCACTGGACTGCTCCAGACTCAGCTCAGCGCTCTTCAGAACACTGTGAACTGAATTGGACTGCTAGTTGGCAGTTCGAGATCAGCTTCATTTCTTCTATATATTAATGAAAGTGTATAGTCACACAAATCAGGGCACGACTGTTTCTTGGTGTTTGGAGCTTGTCTTTGCTTGGGGGTTGTTTGATGGTAGTTCCACTATCACATTTCGTCCGAGCTCACTATAGGTGGACCCTCATAGACTACAGCATACAGGCCCGGGAGCAAATGGTATCAATATGTATCAATTAGTGTTCTTTATTGAAGGAGAGCAATAATTCTACGCTTGGCAAGACTTGCAATGTGCACACCCTGTGCCCCCCAGGACGAAGACTGAGATGCGTCGAGTGGAGCTGACAATTCTTTAATTGACGCGATTTTCCCGTCACTTCGTTCTTCACATACTGACTCTGTGCGGTCTCGCCTGTGCGAGCTGGACCCTTCCTTTGGATTGGTCTGATTTAGTTTGATGAGATTGATGAAAGAGTGTTCCTAAACAGGCAAACATTATGCAGCTTTGTTAGCTTCACATCTTGAAAATGACCATGCCGAAGGACCTAGTTGGCAGTCGTTGCAGTGCAAAACAAAAGGCCTGGGACAATATTCTAGGAGTCCCTTGTGGTCAATACTGTCATGTCGTGGATCTTCGGACTTGCTACTATTGGTGCTCTCTGTCGAAGTGCAACGCCTTGAGCTACAGAGCATTGCTCAGAAGCTGAATTTTGCAGAGATCAAGTTGACTGCCTAGATTAAATTGGGCAAACCTTCTGAATACATTAAAATCATTAAAATATATTATAACGATTAAACTAAAATGATATATTCAAGGAATTCATATGGAATATATGATGTTTTAAAAAATTATGTTGAAATTAAAGGAACAATTGTTGGAATGGGTATTTAGGAAATTATATTGATATAATATCTAAATAAAATTTAAATCGTATTTGAAATTTAAGTATTTAATGAATTATTGATTTATGATTTTTGTTTGATATATGTTTTTTTTGAATATGAAATATATGAATAATTATTTGATACGAATATTGATGTATATTTAATAAATATAACAATAATTTATTTAATATATAGTATATTGCTATTGATGTTGAAGATATTAAAGTGGTATGGGCATCGGGAATCGGGATAGGTTACTATTTCGTTGAGGCAACATATGTTTTATTTTCTATTCGAGGAATTGGCTTACCGAGCATCGAAATTGCCTTTCGGAGCAAACGATTACGAATTGATTAAAGCCTTTTAGAGTAAGGAAGTATTGGTAGTAATTAATTTTTGGAATTATTTTCAATGGGATTTTAAAGAAAAGATTCTGAAACCGGCAGTTCGAAATCCCCTCCCTTCGCAGAAGATTCATTCTTTGGTAGCTTAAGCGGACCTGATCCACCGGTTCTTAGTTCTGAAACCAATGCCTTAGGATTCCACGGTGACGGACTTAATAGTTGTGTCTTGGAGATTGAATATCTCCCTGAGGGGCCAGGCGGCTTAAGATTTCTACGATGTCCTATAACGATTGACCGGTAGCGGGCTTACGCAGGACCTTGCAGAGATCACCATTGGCTCAGACCATTGCACCTCGCTCGATGAAATGAGGAAAACCATTTTGGCACTTTCCTTCAGGAACGGCTCCAACATTTGCTACATGAATATAGCATTGTTGGCTGAACTTTGGGCCTGCTGCACGAATGACGCCTTTGTCTGGCGTGAGGTTGGAGCCTGGAAAGATCCTTTGACTCGTTTGCTTTTATGTAGCAACCAACATCAGGTTAGGAATTGATTGATACCAATTGTTTGGGCCATCTTTTGCACTCATGGTTCACGAATTATGAGCCGGGGACATAACAGGACTCTGCTGAGTTTGTTGGCTGGCTTCGTCAAGCCATGCATGGGGACGCACATGGTGGTCAATCCACCTCCAAATGGGAGGCACGGCTTGAAGCAGCCACAGAGGATTCAGGCCAATTGTACGCTCCGATCCTCCTTCGACAGACAAAAGATGGGGATTGCACGATTCAAGAATTGATCAATTTGTGGCATGAGCATGCTCCCTACCACTGTGATTTTTCGACTTGCACGACCACCGTATGCTTACAAGTAAATCGGTTCCCTGCCATGGATGTTAGGTCATCTCAGCCATTTCGATGGAATAGAATCAATGTCCACTTGCCATGTTTCGTCAATGCCACCAGCTGGACAGTCCACTGGACACGTTTTGAGATAGTTTCCGTTGTGGTTCACCGAGGCGCAGAACCTCACTCCGGCCACTACTAGGCCTGCCTTCGGAGTGGAGGCAACCGCTTCCTGACTGAAGACTGGAGTCGAGCAATGCCATGTGCTCACACTTCAGATCTTGAGCATGACCTGTATCTCCTGTGGTTCGTTGATAGCACACACCTCACGAGCGCTTGGAGTTCACTTCTTTCATGCAACCCTTTTGTGCCTTTTTCGAGCAGCCAAGAGCATTAAAGAACGATGCCGCCCGGGGCACCTGATGCGCAAGACGCAACCAATCTACGGATTGACGCCCAACACGGGCAGAGCTCTCTCTGCCGGAAGTGAATAAAAAAAAATAAAGATATAGTATTTATATTATTGATTTGATATATATAATATATGTTAAATAAATACAATTGAATAATATATTCTATAAAAATTATATATATATATTTTTATTTATATTCTTTATACATATTATAAATTAATTTAGCTATTAAATATATTCGAGAAGGAATTAGGTGATATTTAAAGTAATTCCGAGTAAATATATTGATGATAATGATTTATTTATGGATATATAGTATATTGGATGGGATGAATTATAAAATATGTATAATTTGGTTTAAATAATTGTCGATTTAAAGATCGAAATATGCAGGTTTGATTACGATGATCTTGGAATATGTTAAAATGTAATTTGGCAGAATATTTTTCGAATTCGCGGAAATATATTTTTTTGGCGAAAGATATGGGTAAAGACTATTAATTTTTTGATTATTTTTAAATATATTATTAATAATATTATTACCATTATTACGATTATTGTTATTACTATTCTTGCTTTTGAGGAATTGATTTTAAATCTATCTTGCCATACCTAACCCCAGCCCATTATGAGTAAGTCTGTATGACCGGCTACTACAATGATTCTTGCAATTTTTTTTCTTGTTGACGCCCAATATATCAATATATTATGCGACGTGCAGGGTGTCAACAATTAAATAGAAGCTATATGTTGACAAACAATAAAATTGTTTTTTCGTATTTGCCAATAAAGAAGAAGCCATTGATATGAATAAAATTGATATCAATCATATAACATACATGGCACACATGAATACAACCTATTTCGACGAAATATAAAACACAGGAAGGCAAACATTTGGCTAGAATAAATATTTTCTGATTAAGAATAATGGATCCCAGATAAAAAGAAATTAAATCAACACCCATATATAATGATTTAAATTATGAAGGTTTGATATATAATATTAGATTAAGGGACGTCTGGAATTGGAATTCATAATGGTTATTCATAGATTCCTCATTTTTGCGTAGGCCATGTGTAGTCATGTGATAGTTGTGCTAGGTGATTTCAATCTATTGATATAATCAAAGGTCGTGAATAATACCTTAGCCCAGATTTATAAAATGGACTCATAAATTTGCGGTCCAGATTTGGGAATCTATCTGTTTGAATATATAACAGTCTAATTGATGTCGTCGATCAAATCCTGCAATATCATCATTTTTTGTTGGATACGATGGATCAAAAGCAGAGGTGCTAAAACCGTACCTTGGTCCTCAATTGTATGCAGGAGGCATTTTTGCAATCCTTCCTGGATTCGATCATTGGGTGGATTCAAAAAGATTGTCCCCTGAGTCATCCAGCAAATTCGGCGGCGTCTTCTTGGCCCATGGTTCCATGAATTTGAAACCAGGAATCTGTGGTTGTGGCCCCATGCGTGATAGCAATCGTGTCGATTGCTTTGTCCATTTTCCCCAAGTGATTCGAGTGAATCCATCACAAATCAAGCAAGCCCATAGTTGAGCTCTCAACATGCTGAGGATATAGCAAAGGTTACCAATATTCCTCCATATTTGATTGACCAAGATATGGATTATTTGCGCAGCTTCTGAGCAATGGCGCATGCTAGAGGATTGCATTGCAGACCCATCGGTCGATGTCTCATAGCCACAAATTGTGTGAGGCCGTTGCCACATCGCAGATGAACCAATTTATGTAATTCCGTGTTCTCCACTCCACGCATGGAGATGTCGAATCTCCACGGGATGGAGATCTGATGATCGTCCGGCAATTGTTCTTTGGGCAACGGCTTCATGGCGGCCAATTTGTGGATGAATTCTGCAATCCAAGGCGTCGTCGGGTGCATCCAGCTTGACCATTTGAATACGTTTCAAGAGCTCCTCCATCAAGGTGTGAAACAGCACCTGCCTCAAGGGTTGGGACATCATATTACGGTCCATGGCCATCTCGTGCATCATGTCCTCCTAGCGGAGACAAAACCGTGCCAGCATCATGGTGAGTTCTCGGTCTCCATTGGTAGAGTTCGAGGAGTTGGACGATAAATGATCCCCACAAATAGCCATCAAGTCCTGCAAATTTTGATCTTTCGGATGCATGTTCTCGGGCATATTGGTGGGACAGTTGAGTTTAGCTCAATGTCTTGGGCCAATAGATCCATATATTCAATCCAGATCTCAGGGAAAAATTGCTCTATGTAATTCGTCAGGAAAGTCAGGCCCATGCAAGAGACATCTGTTGGCAAGGTGACAGACCCATGTCATGATTAGGTATACCTAAGGGAGCGCAGGCCAATGGATCAGCCAATTCAGAATCTGGCGGCGCCACTTCAGTCAAACGTCTGGCCTAAAAACGGCGGTGCGGGTGATAACGGGTGCGGTCGAATGGTGAGGAGGCTCTATGATTGGGAATTATCAATGTTATCCGTCCATTCCTGTCCCCCTAATTCATATATATCAAACAGAGGTCTGGAGGTGGCATGGATTGGCTCATGGTCATGTTCAATCGATTGTGCTATCGAAGTGCCAAAGTGCAATTCTGATGCTAATTGATACAAACGAACAGGGCATGAAATATTCTTGAATTGTGTGCGCAATGCAAATTCCACATTGAAGGTAGCCTTGCAGTGGGCACATGTCAATCGACCTGGGAGGACGTCACGGTGCGGATTGAAGTCGAATTCATTTGATCAGCCGAATTGATGATTTGTGCGTAAGTGGATGACAACAATTTTCCTTCCTATGGTCTCTTGACAGAATGGGCAAATGAACGTGGTC